GCCAGTCATTAAAGAGTTTTGCAGAAATGTAAAGCAACGCCACTCCTCTTTCTAATTGTTTTGTTTTGTATATAAACTTATCTTTCGTAAAGTATGGTATTTGTATGGATATTTAACAAAATTGTTTTAAAATGAAGTAATAAGTATTTAAATTTTTTCTCAGTCTTAATTTCTTATACCAAAAATATCGATAGATAAAACCCACAGAAACAAAAAAGTGTTTTAGATATTCAGTGATTTTTAAGAGTGTAAAGGGGTTTTTTAACACCACAGTTTGTGGATCACTGGTTTAGACCTCAGGGAGGAGAGCTGGTAGTTCGAGAGATTTAGGTGGATGAGAAGGGTTTTTAAATAGCCAATGATTTTTTTTTTTAATTTGGATTTCTTTTTCTTTTTAATTAATTTATTTATATTTGGCTGCATTGGGTCTTCCTTGCTGCCTGTGGGCTTTCTCTAGTTGCGGCGAGCGGGGGCTACTCTTCGTTGCGGTGCGCGGGCTTCTCATTGCGGTGGCTTCTCTTGTTGCCAAGCGCAGGTTCTAGGTGCTCGGGCTTCAGTAGTTGTGGCACGTGGGCTCAGTAGTTGTGGTTCACGGGCTCTAGAGTGCAGGCTCAGTAGTTGCGGTGCATGGGCTTAGTTGTTCCACGGCACGTGGGATCTTCCCGGACAAGGGCTTGAATTTATGTCCCCTGCATTGGCACGCAGATTCTTAACCACTATGCCACCAGGGAAGTCCCTAAATAGCCATTGATTTTTTCTCATAACTTCAGAATATTAAAAAACATAAAGCTCTATTAAGAGTACCTATTCAAAAAATATACAAATCAGGGCTTCCCTGGTGGTGCAGTGGTTGAGAGTCCGCCTGCCAATGCAGGGGACACGGGTTCATGCCCTGGCCCGGGAGGATCCCACATGCCGTGGAGCGGCTGGGCCCGTGAGCCATGGCCACTGAGCCTGCGCGTCTGGAGCCTGTGCTCCGCAACGGGAGAGGCCACAGCAGTGAGAAGCCTGCGTACAGCAAAAAAAAAAAAAAAAAAAAAAAAAAAAAAAATATATATATATATATATATACACAAATCAATTTTCACTGCAAAGTAAAGGAGCTGTTACAGTGGAGGATTACTGGACTGAATGTCAATATTATGACATAGTATGAGTGTGTTTCGTGTTTGGTAATTGCAATCATTGTTGCTTTTGTTGTGGTCATCCATTTATAATGCTTGGTGTCAGTCTATTTATCTCTTGTAAAAATAAAATACAGTGTGTGTGTGTGTGTGTGTGTGTGTGTGTGTGTGAAAAATAAATAAATACAAAAAAAAGAGTGCCTATTGGTTGGAGTTTGGTTAAATGAGTTTTTACCAGTTTAGTCAAGGAAGGAGAATGGTGTATTAGAGTTAGATGCACCTGAATTTGAATTCTGGCTGTGGTAAGCATGGGAAATTACCAAAACTCCTAGCCTCAGTTTGTCCATCTGTATTGTGGGATAATAATATCTACCTTAGATGGGTTATTGTGAGGATAAAACTTCATGTAAATCTTCACTACTTAAAGTGTGTTCTGTGGACCAACAAGGGGTTAGCAATGCTAAATAAATACCCAGAGCTCTGAATCATGATCTACATTTTGATGAGATCCCCAGGGGGTCTTATGCTCATTTAAGTCTGAGAAGCACTGATGTGTAAGGCACCTAGCAGAATGCCTGCCTGCCACATAATAGGTGTTCAATAAAAATTCTTTCTTTGTTGTATTTATTATTCTTCAGCTTATAACTATTTTAGTCTTTTGGACTAAAGTAATTGGCTTGATTTCTTTTTTTAAAATAAATTTATTTATTTATTTATTTTTGGCTGTGTTGGGTCTTCGTTGCTGCACACAGGCTTTCTCTAGTTGCGGCGAGCAGGGGCTACTCTTCTTTGTGGTGCACAGGCTTCTCATTGTGGTGGCTCCTCTTGTTGCGGAGCACGGGCTCTAGAGCGCAGGCTCGGTAGTTGTGGCCCAGTTGCTCCGCGGCATGTGGGATCTTCCTAGACCAGGGCTCGAACCCATGTCCCCTGCATTGGCAGGCGGATTCTTAACCACTGTGCCACCAGGGAAGCCTAATTGGTTTGATTTTTAAGAACACATCTGACCAGTTAATTTAGTGTTTTTCTTTATTATCAGCCTAAGTAATCCTTCAACTTTCAGACCTATGGTCTAGAATCTAGAGTGTCTCTGTCCCTCCTTTTAATTAATTTATTTATTCAATACATATCAAACACCTAATACATGTTAGGGACTATGCATGACACTAGGAAAACAGTATGCAAAACGAACATGATTCTCACCCTTGTGACGCTCACCTAAAATTGGCACTAAAATGAGCCAAAATGTGCCACTTGTAATTCTCAAGAAGTAAAGCTTTGTGCATATGGGGGAGTAGCATACATTTTTAAAAAACCTCCAGAGTATATTTTTTTCCTTTTCTGGGTTTTCTTAACTTTTATTAATACAGAAAAAAACTTTATTTACATCATATAATACTTCTTGGTTTGAATTTTACATTGTCTTATGATAATATTGCTTACCTCAGGGAATTCCCTGGTGGCCTAGTGGTTAAGATTCCGGGCTTTCACTGCCATGGCCTGGGTTCAATCCCTGGTTAGGGAATTGAGATCCTGCAAGCCGCACCGTGTGGTATGGCAAAGGAAAAAAAAAAAAAAATATATATATATATATATATATATATATAGCTTACCTCAGATTTTTTTACTTGCCTGCCATAATTTTGACCATTGCTGGATTTTTAAATCTGCTAACATGCGAGTTATTTTTCCAATACTGAAATATTACTGAAATTCTGCACCCATTGAGCAACCCCCTATTTCCCTGTGACCCCAGCCCTTGGCAACTGCAATTCTACTTTCTGTTTCTATGAGTTTGACTACGTTAGATACCTCATATAATTGCAATCATATAGTATTTGCCTTTTTATTACTAGCTTATTTCACTTAGCATATGTCCTCAAAGTTTATTCATGTTGACAGGATAACATGTGACAGGATTTCTTTCCTTTTTAAGGTGGAATAATATTCCATCGTGTGTGTATACCACTTTATCTATTCACCCATCGATGGACATTTGGGTTGCGGAAGCTATTGTGAATAATGGGAATGATGTGAACATGAATATCTCTTGGCTATTGTAAATAATGCTGCAACGCACACGGGTGTGCCACTAGAGTACTTTGATGTAGACACAAATCCATCCCCATGCCTGAAAATAGTTCTCGACTCTAAGTAATAACTGCAGGCTTGAGCTGGCAGAGAGGGAAATGTGGGCCATTTCTGGCCAGGATTCCATCTCTGGTTATCTCTCTGGGCAACAGCAGAGGGAAGGAGAAAATAGCCTGAATCACTCAGGGCAGAGAGGTTTCCTGTCTGAAAGATTGTATGCCTACCATATGCAGGACACCATGCTAACACTTTCATATATACTGAGGGGGAAATGTGGGAGATTTCTTGAATTAAGATAACTGTGATAATTAAGAGAATTTTCCCCCCAAATTCCCATGACAATGAAAACAGTGATTGCCAGTGTCAGGAATGGGCCCAGGAGGGCAGGATATCAGGACCTTAGCATGGAGAGGGCTTGTGTTATTTGAACAGAGAGAGTTGAGAATAGAATATATTCAAATTTCAAATATGACGCAAACTATTGAAATGTAAGCTTAACAGCTTTTTTTCCCCGGCTGTTGGGGTATGGGTTAGGACAATAAACAGATGTTATGTGCCTGATGTGGCAGAGATCAGTCTCTCAAAGAGCACAGAGCCCTTGCCAGGGTTCTAAGCTGATGTTCTTTACTGGTTGCTGGTTAAATAAATCATTTTTGCTGAAAGTTAGTCTTTAAAGAACTTTAGTTTCACTGGGAAGCCCCAGAGTCTGTATCTGGGCTCCCAAGTCCTGCCTGTAGATGTCATTCCTATTAAAATCAGTTCACACACAGAAGTCAAAACCACCTTTGAGCTTCCCTCCCTCAAGGAGGGAAAGAAAAACCATTGCAAAGTTGAACCACTTAAACTGACTTTCATTGTTGTCTTCTAGTCCATCATTTCAGTCCTTAGAGTAGGGGAGAAGGATCATCACAGACTCAACTTGTTGACATCACTTGACTGGAGCTATTTTACTTGTAACCATAGTAAAATTGGCTATTTTATGGTACAGGGAAGCAGAAAAGGCACTGGCCCGAGAGTCAGAGATGGGTTCTAGTTCTAGCTTGTCCTCTAACTAGGTGGGTGCTTTAGACAAGTGCCTTCCTCTCTTGAATATGAGCATACCTTCTGTAAATTCCAGCAGCACTTGGATTAGAATAGCTCCATTCCTTGCACTAGAACAGCTCTAACATTCTGTAAGTTAGGGATAACACTTGATCATTGTGTGCATCCTACTTTTTATTTGGCATTTGTTCATTTGATACATATATACATATATAAAAATCTGTACATGGTAAAAATACAAAATAAGTATTTTTTTATAAGTTACTCAATTAAACAGCTACCTTTTTAAAGTTTAAAAACCATTGCAAGAAAAGAGAGAAGGAAATCTAGTCAGTCCTTTATATCATTCACAATAAACTTGGTATAAAATATCCATACAAGTGTACAAAATAGTGTACAGTTCACAAAAGCTGTGCAAAGACAGCAAAGTTCTATGAAAAAAAAATCAAAGAGGCTTGTGGGTCTCTCTCTGTTCACATCATGCCCAGTGCTCAGTGAAACCTCCCCAGAAATAATAAAAGGGCACAAGGTAGAGTGCTTGGTGCATATACTATGCATGCAGAAATAGTAAAGAAAAGTCTTTAAAACACACACTCGAAATAGAGGCCGACTCTTCCTCCCATTTAGAGAACTCACTTCTTTGCCCAGAGAGCGTTTGGAATATGACACATAGAAAAGACTCAATATTTATGTGGTACCTTAGACCAGAAGGCACGGGTAGATTTTTTTTTTTTTTCTTTTTTGAAATTCTTGAGCTTTCTAAGGGCATTGCTACGGGAAGACTGGGTTACCAGTGTCTGGAGTTGGGCAAGAGGCCCTTGCTACCTAAGGTGGGGAGGTGGAGGGATCTAGGAAGTCAGGGGTCTTGAAGTTATATGCTTGATGTTGTGACTCGTATCTCGGTTTCCTACTTCAGAAAAGGTTTCTTACCTTATAGGGTTGTTGCTGCTGTAGACCAGCAAGGCCTGGCTCACAGCTAAACCCGGGCTGGGAGAGTGAACACCCCACTGTGTTGAAAATATCTTGCAATAAGGAAGCTAAACGGGCCCTCGCGGCAAAGTTAAGGCTGGGACCAAGACCTAAATTTAACTTATGCGGAGAGGGCTGTTGGTAGGTGGTGTGGGGCAAGGGAATGTCGTTGGGGGGCAATGGAAGGGGCCAGGGTGCCCTCGACGACGCGACAGTTCTACAGCGGGGAGCGGCAGCGTCTGCGCAGCGGGGGCAAGTGAACACGCACCGAATCCCACCTCTTCAATTTCAAAGCACTTATAATCGGTACCCCGGGCGCGGGAGGGCTTCTAAGACACGGTGATCTCCTCCTCCTCAGCCTCCTCATCCTCTTCGGAGTCGGAGAAGTCCGAAGGTTTGTCGGGGCTGCCAGAGTGCGCGGGCGAGTGGGGCAGCGGCCCTTCCAGGCGCGGGTCCCGCAGGTGCCGAGGGTCGGGGGACGGGTGATGATAGACCAGGCGGTGGCGGAGGCTGCCCGGGCCCTCGTCCTCCTCGTCGTCGTCGTCCCCGGGACCCTTCTGGCCCACGTCGCTGAGGTCCGGGTGCGGATTGAGTTTGGTGGGAAGGGTCTGCTCGCGGCAGCCCCCGCTAGACAGGAGCTCGCGCTCCTTGGAGTTCCGCCACTTCATGCGTCGGTTCTGGAACCAGATTTTCACCTGGGGCGAGAGGGGTGAGAGCAGGGGAGAAGCAGCGGTTAGCGCAGAACCCCCGCCACCGCCCCAAGCCGGTGGGAAGGAAGCCCTGTTCTTCCTCTCTTTGCCGGCTCCCCACCCGGTAAAGTGAGTTCGGACCGGAAGTGGCCCTTACCCTACCCCCACCAGCTCAGCTGCACGCACCTCTCGCCCTTTCTTCCGGCACCTGGCCCAGGTGGGCGGGGGTGGGGAGACGCTGGGCTCGGGAGAGACGGGGTGGGGAGAGTAGCGGGCTATCGCGAGAAGCCTCCGCGAAGCTGGCTCGTGCACTTACTCCCTCTCTAGACCTTACCGCGTCTGTACAATGGGACCTAGGCGGTTTCAGAGAACCTTCCCGTTCGTACGATGCGTGGGGGGAGGGGCTCTGGGGAGACTGCCCTCACCTGTGAGTCTTTCAAGCCCAGCTTGGACGCCAGCTTCTTGCGGTCGGGCTTGCTGATGTACTTCTGTTTCTGGAACATCTTCTCCAGCGCCTTGCGCTGCACGTCGGAGAACACGGCTCGACGCAGCATGCCCCTACGAGGCTTGCCGCGAGCGGCCAGTGGCCAGGAGAAGGTCCCCGGGATGGGCACGACGCTGGAGGACGCTGCGGAGGCCAGGGGTGCGAGGTGAGTGAGTGGGCGGTGGCCCGCCCGGGCCGGTGGCGTCCGCCCCACCATTGCGGCCTCCTTAGGTTTTTCTCTCTGATCCCTTCATCTCTTTAAAGCTCTCCTTTTTCTCCGCCTGGAGAATAGGCTACGAACCCACAAACCTGCGAGAGTGAAAGGCGCTTTCTGCCCAAATAACTTTCCCTTTCAACCGTGCAAACCCGGATTAGGTAAAACCACGGAAACACAGAAAAGACCCCCCACAATAGCCTATTTCGTTTTTCCATTCAACGATCTCAGGGAAACTAACTTGCGTGCATCAGCTAATATAGCTGAAGAAAAAAGTAAATTGTAAAAAATAAAGTAGCCAGCCACTGGGTTCCCCCCTAAGCTTTTAACACGTTTGTGGCTTTTGCATTCTTTAGATGAAAATGAGGTGATTTACTGATTTGATAGAGAGGAGAAAATCCGCTTTGGATGTTTTATGTTTTGAAAAATCCAATCAGTATTCATCTTTTTTTATATTAATCTTTCCTCCCCTCCCCCACAAAACGTAAAGAATTCGGCCAGAATACATGAAAAGTGGCAGCTAATTAGCACATTGACCGCTTCCCAATGGGTATTGGCATGATAAAAGGGGGGAGAGTTTCGCTTTAAGGGAGAAAAAAAATCCAAAAGAAACAGAGACTCTAATGAAGCGTGAATGGTAATTGTGTAGTAATGAACTAACAGAAAAAGACTGAGGACAAGCAGCGAAAGCCATATATTACTGGGACAAAAGAGATTTACACTTTCAAACTAAACACAACTGCAGGCCAAGACCATTGGGAGAATACTGATGGCAGAGGCTTCTCTTCCCCGAATCATTTTCATTAAATGGACATGAAAAGCTATTTATAAAGCTCGGGTTGTTTTTGTTACAGCATTGAGATGGGGGAGAAAGGGAGCAAATTCCATTATCAGCAGTAGCATGAATGGTGGTGGTGGGGGGGTGAATTCTCTCTCCCCCTTTCAAAAATCAATTGCTTGTTTCTTCCGCTGATATTTGGAAGTGCTGTCGAGGTTCTACCCATCCCCCACCGACCATGCCCAGTCTCTCTTCCCTTTATAAGAGTTCCTGTCTCCTTAATCTTGACCAGCTGCAGAGTTTTTGAGCCATAGTTTGAGCCACCACTGGGATTCCAGGATGAAAACGTCCTGGAACCTGTTTAAGGTGTTTCTCCTTTAAACTGGGACCCAATTATGGGCTTCCCTCCGACTTAATTTACGAGCTCTAGGATCTTTAAAACGGTATGGCGATGGGGGGACGGTATGAGAGTTTGGGAAATAAGGTAGGAAATAGAAGGTTGGGGTTGTGGGAGGATCTAGTCCCCCTCCCCCTGGGCGACCCCAGGCATCCCACACAAGAGGGCACCCCATGTGGTCTTGTGAAAAGCCTGAAGCCCTGAATGAGTGTTAAAGAGAAATTAGCCCCGGCTGGTAGGTGTCTCTCCGCGGCTTGGAGGGGCGAGGGTTGGTCTGTGTGTGGCTGCCCGGAGGAGCTGACCAATTGGTCATGGTGCTGAAACCTTTGTGGGGAATCGTGGCCAAGTGCACTGACTCTGTGGGAAAACGGCGGCGTGAAGGGATGCCAACAGCTCCTCGCCGGGAAGGGAACCGCCTCAAATTTGGACCATGACAATTCCTGCTAATTTGTAGAGCAGGGAATTGGTGCAAAGTGTCAAGCAGTCACTGCTTGTGCTAAATAGGGCATCAAATTGGCGCGACGGATTCGTGAATGTTGTACGCCTTGCAACCTCTGAACCGGAGCGTAACCCCGTGAGGTGGACGGAGAAATATGGCTTCGGGGCAGGGAGCGACGGAGTGGGGCTGGGGCGACGCCCAGCCTCCTGGAAGGAAGGGGGATGAGACCTACCTGGGAAATAAGAAGATCTGATGAAAGGCTGGAAGGAGCCTTCAAAGTAGGGAAAGGCGAAGGTCTTGGGAGGGACACTCTGGAGCAAGGCGGGGGATGTTTCTGGGAGAGAGTGAGGAAAGGAGGAACAGAAGGAGGGAGACAGAAAGGGAATTTGATTAAGTACATGATTATTGTACAGCACAGTGAATACACGACATGATTAACCTTTCGGCTGGTTTCAGAGGCATCTTACTCAGTGTACTGACACAGTAAAGTAAACCTTTCCCTAACACTGTCTCTATCTGTGGAACCCCCTCCCCCAATAGTCCTCAGAGGCCCCCCCCCCATGTCATCCTAGGCACTAACGAGATAGAAGAACTGGTGGGGAGGGGGAGAAAAGAATTGCAGACCGATAATACTTGCTAAGCTAGTAAATATATTGTCTTGGGTTAAAAAAAAAAACTGGCTTTCAGAAGCTCAAGGACAGAAACACAGACGTCCAGGGGCGTGCGCGCAATTTCACTGCGCCAGGGAACTGTGCGCGCTCGGACTGTAGGTGTTCAAATTCATTCTGAGGGTGGGGCGAACCTGGAGGCTTCCCGGGAATCGTCTGAACCTAAGTCTCACATTGCTTGACAGTGGGGCCTCGGGGATCTTGCGTACGTGTGTGCACTGCTGTGAGCGTGGGTACCCGCTGCGTATGGGAAACTGAGGCCATAAGGACTCTGCATCTAGACCGGCCCCTTAGCGTTTTGCTTTCACTTACCAGTTCTGGGCGCCGAAGAAAGGATGGCGTTCACTCCAAACTTCAGAAACGTGGGCTCGCTGGCAGGGGAGACGGCCGTCTGTGGTGAGCCGCCCCGCCGGCTGCCTGGACCCGGGGAGCCCAGGTCCGAGGCCCCTGTGTCTGTGAGAGCCGCAGGGGCCCCCTGCCTAGGGGGCGACATGCTGGCGGTGGGCACGCTGCGGGGCAGGTAGGCTGGGGGTCGGCTGATGCGGATCAGATCCTCCACCAGGAAGCTCGAGTGGCCGGAAAATGCCGACTGCAGGGACTGGGGCAATGTTAAGGTGGGCGTGGGGCGCAAGAGGCTGGGGTACCCGGCTGGGGGCGCGAGGAGGCCGGGGAACATCATGTTAGGCGAGGGGCGGGCGGAAAAACCCTTCTTCCAGTGGCCAGAGGGTAAATGCTGGGCTTCCCGCCCCTCCCGCCCTCTCTCTTGGGCTTAGCAAACGTCTTCTAGTAACGATCCCACTTGGGTGTCTGCGAGTCCTCCGCGGTCCTCCCGTTGAGGTGATGGTTTTATAGTGGCCCGCCCGTTAAAGCGTTTTGAAAAGTGACAGCTCTGACAATGAAGTTCAACAAAGTTCTCCACTCGAGCTTCATTCGCTGGAGGCTCTGGGCGCGCTGATTGGCGCAGGGGTGCAATTTATGATTGGATTAGTCTTCATAAGCATGGCCCGCACAATGGGCTGGCAACAAAGGCTGGCGCGCATCAATTCTGCGTATCGACCGCCTCTTTGCAATACAGTGCTCCCCCAAAGCTCTCGCCGGGAGTTTTTGTTCGGAAGCAACACCCGGGCTAATTAAATGCCTATTTAGAAGTTTCAGATGACATCTTGCCTCATAGAAAAGGAATTATTTAAAGAATGCACTAAATTTATTTGCAGCTCCCCTGCTGAGCCTGGAAAATAAATCAATAAATATTCATAGAAATTCATCTCCAGGCAATCAGTAAAATAATCCTCCCCCCTTGTGGGGAGGGCAATGGAAAATTTCAAGTCAGTGAACATGAAAATATACTCCCTCTTCGGTCTCTGCCCTATACATTACTCCAGCTGAGGCATAAAGCAGATGTGATGGGTGGGTTAAATAAATGTGGGGTAGGGGAGTGCCGTTCTAACAACCCAGGGAGACTTGAAATTGATGCTTTGGGGCTATTGGATGTGCGTCCCTAGGGTTGGAGGGTGGAGGTCTTGATTTGAGTTATTTCATGTTGGGAAACTAATTGAGATTGAGAGAGTTAGTGGGTACCTGAATAGTAATATGACCCTCCTGCAGACTCCCAGCAACTTAGAAAACGATTTTCAGCGACGTATCTTTATAAGTGTCACTGAGGAACGAACGGCAGTTCACCCGGGGGAGGATCAGAGAGCAGCATCGAAAAGGGGCAAGGTAGCCAGATTCCATTCCCAAGGGCTTACCTCTGCTGGAGGCTGCCTCAGACAAGGACACCCGGACACTGTGGGGGCTCTGCTGGCTCTTTCCTAACCTCTACAAGCCCTCGGCAGTTTCAGTAGAAACTCACAGCCTGGACTTTTAAAACCACAGCAGCAAAGGTTGGGATTTGTCCTGAGAGAGTCCTACCCATTGTGGGCGCTTAACCCGGCCAAAGTTTTGCTGCTTCTTCATTAACTGCAATGTACAAACACATGAAAACAGCACGAAGGACGCGGTTCCCAGAAATGTTGGTCCACATGAGGAAAGACGATTCTTAATTTGGTGCCTCAAATGAGAATCTTCCTGTAGACAGTACTGTGTTTTCTGCTGGGTTGGGGCTGGGGTGGCGCTGAGCCTCAATTCCGTTTCTCGGCTCGGCTAGATAACAGATGTGTAAAACGTCCCATTCATTTCTTTAGTGTGGCTGAACCTCCCCAAAGAGAAGTGTGCAGCCCGCCAGGCCGCCCTGATCCTATTAACCATGAACTAACTGTCACCTTCAGCTGGTTTTCCTTTTTTGCTTTTTAACACAAAGCTTTCTCAAAAATCTTATTAACCAGCTTTATTTCTCTCGATGGTTTTGTTCAGGGCGTTTTGTGTTGATGATCTCCATGTCGCTGCTTTAACCATTCAATAAAAGTGCATCTGTGATTTATATCACATTAAACCAGAAATGGAGCCCGCTAAAGCTCTCCCTTGATTCAGATTAAAAAGTTATTTAGGTCGGGCTCTGGAGCCGAATTAATGCTCCAACATGACGCAAGTACGGAGTTTCTGAGCCCAAGACTGTTTATGGAGGCATTCTGGGCAGCAGGCCCTGGAAAACCACTAAGGAAAGAACAACTGTTAAATAAGTGGCTATTTAAATATGGGAAATGCGTTGCTCAAGTTAACTGGAGTCCCCTGGAAACGAAAGAGACAGATCTTCGGAGAACTTCAAATGTTCCTCTTTTTGAAGCTTTGCCATAGAATAGGGGAGAAAAAGTCGAAAGTATTTGAACACCTGAGCTCTAATTTTGCCACAGCGTTTTCATTCGCTATCACCCCTCCCCACCAACTGCTTTCTGGAAGCAGGAGGACCAGCTCTGGTTTTTGCATTCTCTCCCTCTTTCTCTTCTTTTTCCCCTCTTCATTCCCTCCCTCCTTGCTCCCCTACTCCCCTGTCAGGAGCCATTGCCAGTTCCCGGAAGGAGGAAAACTCGGACTAGAGGTGTTGGGTTTCTCATCAAGGAAGTGTAGCTCAGCACTATAGCATTTGACTGCAGTCTACTGGAAGATAGAGCCTACATTTGCAGGGCTTTGTATTGAGGCGCGGTAAGGACTCAAAGCCAGTCTAAGGCCTTCCTGACCCCCCTGCCCCTCCTTCCCTAGACCTCCTCTCCAGCTGAGGTATCTCCCTGGGTGTGGTTTTTTGTTTTGTTTTGTTTTTGTTTTTTGCGGTACACGGGCCTCTCACTGTTGTGGCCTCTCCCGTTGTGGAGCACAGGCTCTGGACGCACAGGCTCAGCGGCCATGGCTCACGGGCCCAGCCGCTCTGCAGCATGTGGGATCTTCCCGGACCGGGGCACAAACCCGTGTCCCTTGCATCGGCAGGCAGACTCTCAACCACTGTGCCACCAGGGAAGCCCCCTGGGTGTAGTTTTTACAGTTACTATCTTGACAATTGACACGCTCCTTGGTTCCCACACTTACACACACACACACACACACACACACACACACACACACACACACACACACACACACACACACACACACACACCGGCCATTCTGCCTCACTCTAGACTAACTGCTGCTAATGTCTCTTCTTTTAAAAGGGGGGCCTGACATTTTTTGGAAGGTGGGTCAACCCCTTGCTGCGATCCACGTGTTCTTGGCCTCCAGCGGTTCGTCTCCATAGCCTTTTTTCCTTTTTCCAAGGGGAAGAGTGAAGGCGGGGGCGAGGGCTGGCGGCCCGTGAAAAGGCAAAATAAATCCTAAGGAAGCAAGAAATCTGACGAAAGGATCTTACTTTTAAGTGATTTCCTTGAACGCGTCTTTTCAAACTCCGCCATAGCCTAAGGGGCTGCGCAGCCGGCGGCTGCGGCTAAGACCTGTGACTAATGCCGTTTGACCTGAGCCCTTGGGGTTTTGTGCGCCCTGCCATTCATTGTAATGTCGTTATCTTCAAGTTTATTTCAGAGAAGTCACTAGCGTCCTCTCTCCCAGAGCGGGGCTTTCTGTCTGTTTCTCTTTCAGGGGAAAAAAAGACGGGAGGGGAAAAGAGTATCGGAGGCGCCGGTTGGGGTGAAGATCCTCGCCTGTGCCGCGGGCGCCGCTGCTCGCTGGGGGAAGGCCTCAGTAGAGACAGCCGAGGCTCCCGGGGCCTTCGAGGCCAAAGCTGCCGGAGCCTCCCTGGGAAGGCAGGAAGGGCTCCGGAATCCGTCTGGGCTTTCTTCCCCCCGCCACGCCCCCGGGGCCTTGGATAGCTGGCGCGTCCCTGCCCGATGCGCCGGGGTCTGGCCGTGGCTCACCCTCTCCAGTGTGGGTCGAGGCGTGAGCGCCTGCCCCGGGTAAGTGCAGGCCGCCCGTGGGGAGACGAAGTGCCCGAAAAGTAGAGAGTGGCTTGATATATTCCTCGCCCTCCGAAACGACAACGAACGTAAATTCGGGAAGACTGGGACCCCAGGGTCGCACTTTGCAAGGGTTCAAACCCGCAGGCCGTGGCGCTCCCGACCGGAGCTACCAACAGAGAATGCTTTGCAAGTCTGGCAGGCTGCGGGGTGGCGGTGGCGTCGGAATTAGCACCCGCCTCCTGGCTTCTGCTGTCCCAGGGAAAAAGAGGGAGCTGATGCGCGAGGCAAAGGAGGAGGGCGGCGAGGCTCGGGCTGTAAGAGCTTTCCTACAGCCCTAGCTCTTTAGGCGAGCCGCTCTATTAAGACACCTCTAAGGGGTTCACCTTCAGAATAGGCCACAGGGAGCTACCGGCCGCCCCAGCCCTTTCTAGCATCTCCCCGCACCGCTCATTCCTTTCACACTCACTGCCCCCTTTTTCCTTGAAAATCCTTCTATTGTGCCAATCAAGCAGATGGTTTGCAGGAAATATAGCTTGGCCTTGCTGACCGAAACTAATTTTAACTAGCTTTCCAAGCCTGAAACGTTTGTTTTGCTCTTACAAAATAGCCCCCAAAACAGCTGGCAAGGGTGAATTAAACCCATTAAAGACACATTTATAAGAAATTATATTCACATAGATTGCCTGAACCCCCTTGTGCAGCCTAAGAGGGGAGATGAGCGCATTTAAATGAAAATGTCGCCGAAAGCTCCCCTCCTTAACGTAGCCTGAAAGTCCCGAAAACATTTTACTAAATAGATTAACTTGACCATTGTCTCGCGTCACATTTAGCAGCTTCATTAAGTGAATGGCTGAACAAATATATTACGCATGCATGGAAAGCGCTTTTGCGAAGCGCCTCATTGTGTCCTCAGCCCTGACAGGTGGTTAACTGTGTGTTGTGTTTTTTGGTGGGTTTTTTGTGTTTTTTTTTTTTTTTTTTCTTTTTTTAACCCGAAGAAAGAGGGTGTCTTTAGAGCAGTGCTGTGCGCAGGCCCGGCTTGGTGGGAGTTTACTTTAACTGGCTGCTTGGGCCCTGCCGCCCAGTGATATTAGCACCGTGAGATGTTGGCAAAGGCGATCTGAGCCCATTCAAGATAATCAAAATTAAATTCTGGTGAGCCGAGCCTTGAGTGCTTTTTCTCTCCATCACTCCCACCTCCTTGTCTCGGAAATTAATTTTATAATGCTCCTTTTCAAAGCTGATGTCCCCCCACCTCCCAAAAGTAAATTGCCTTTGCGTTTCCTTGATTAGCCGGCTCTCTGCAGACTGCAGTGTTAAATATCCTTTTAACTCACATTTGGATCCATTTCACTTTACT